CTTAAAGTTGTCAAGGTTGGACACCCCTGGCGTAGCATTTTACCCGGCAGGGTCCCTTCCAGAAGGCCAAGAAGAGCGTCCAGCCCCTCCTCACCTGGCGATCTCACACTTGTTGACGTCCAAGCCCCTCTTGGGCATGAAGCCCATCCCCCGCTGGGGCTCTTTGCTGCTGAAGGTGTTGAGGTAATGGACGTAGGGAGGCTCCTCCGTGACCTCGAAGTAGCGGATGCTGCTGTCGCCCTGCGGGAGGGTAAGAGACGGGGGGGGGGGAAAGGGGGGATCTATAGACTGGCAGCCCTCGACCTACGAGCACAATCGAGCCCAAAACCTTCGTTAAGGGAGCTTTTGCCCCGTTTGGCGAACTTTCTGGCCGCTGTTGTTAAGTGAAGCCCCGCAGGGGTTGATGGTTGTAAAGTGAATCCGACTCCCCCCCACTGACTTTGCTTGCCAGGAGGTCGCCCAAGGGGATCACATGACCCCCGGGACGCGGCGACCGTCGTAGTCAGTGACCAAAGCGCCTGGATTCGGACAAGGGGGATGCTACAACGGTCGTAAGGGTGAAAAATCTTTTTTTTTCCTGTGCCTTGTAACCAGTGACTAAACAGAGTGTTGTAAGTCGAGGACTGCCTGCCTTGTCTTATTATGAAGCATGACATCGGCTCCTCGACCCCCAACCCTTCCAGGCGGCTGGCATTGAACAAGAGTGACAGCAGAAGCCTTTACAGCAGGGGTCCCCAACCGCCGGTCCGCGGACCGATACCGGTCTGCGGAACAACTCTTACCGGGCCGCTGGTTGCTGGGCGCTGCCATCTTTTTTTGGTAAAAAAGTGCTTCCGGTGAGCTTTTCCAGGTAGAAAGCTCACCGGAAGCACTTTTTCATCAAAAAAAGATGGCGGCGCCCAGCTGATATCGGGCCGCGGCGTCAAAAAGGTTGGGGATCCCTGCTTTACAGGACAAGGAAGAGGCTTCGGCCTCTGGAGCGGTTCTAAAGAATAGGGGAACTGGGGGGGGCACCCAGATCTTTGGGGGAGGGGCCCTTGCTGCCAAGAACCTTCTCCAGTTTTCCTTCCTGCTTTCTGCTTTTAGGAGAGGACCTTTCCAAAGAAACGGGGTGGATTCCTCGGGGGCTATTCCTGCACGCTGGGAACCCCAAAACAAACCCCAGAGACGAAAACCCAGCTCCAGGGCCACCTAGAAATCATTTTTTCCCTTCAATTAAAGAAATTATTTGATGGTGATCCTGTCAGGGTGGATCCTGTCAGCACCAACTGTTTTTACGTGCTTGCCTAGGTCTTTAGGCACAGCACCCAGTATGCCCAGTACCAGTGGAACCACCTGCACTGGTTGATGCCAGAGTCTCGGCAGTTCGATTCTCAAGTCCTGATATCTGGTGGGTTTTCCCAAGTTGCTTTCTCCTCGATTCTGCTGTCCCCAGGTATGGCAATGTTGACGATCCACATTATTATTATTATTGTTATTGTTATTATTTTGGCTCACCTTCCCGCATAAGTAAAGGATGTTGGTGTCCGGGTCGTAAAAGGGCAGCAGGACGCCGTTGCTGGTGTCCATTTCATGGAGGGCAACGGGCTCGCCCATGTTCTTCTGCAAGACAAGAGGCCCTTTTAGCCGAAGGAGAGGCGTCCAGAGAAGCCGGAAGGGGAGCGGCTTCCAGATCGACGCCCCTAAACCAAAGGTTTCTCCAAAGGTCCTCTCCATGTTTAAGCTGCCAGAAACGTGGCTGGCTGGGGAACTCTGGGAGTTGAAGTCCACCCGCCTTAAAGTGGCCAAGGTGGAGAGACATTGGTCTAGGGCAGGGCCCGCCCACCTTGGCCGCTTTTAGGCGGGTGGACTTCAACTCCCAGAGTTCCCCAGCCAGCAGTCTTAAAGTGGCCACGGTGGGAGGGCCCTGCCCGAGGGGCTCCCCAGGGACACTCACCGGGTTCCAGAGGGCCAGCTGCCTTTCGCTCATGCGGCTGAACCCCGTGGTGAAAACGCTGCCGTCGGAGAGGAAGATGGCTCGCATCGGCCGGGCGCCTTCGTGCGCCTTCTCTTTCTCCTGCAGGAGGAGGAGGAGGGGGAGAGTCACATTCCCGACAGCACGAAACGGCCACAGCTTTCAACTTCGCTCCCGGGCAGGGCGAGGACAAGGATGATGGGCCTTGGAACTCTGTACTCTGTTGCAAGGGCAGCAGGCGGCCAGAAACTCTCCCCGCCCAGCCTAACCCCCCCCCCCCCCGGGCCCCCCCCCCCCGGGAGACCCACCGCCATAATCTCCTGCTTCCGGGGGTCGATCACACGGACTTTCTTGTCCTTGGAGGCCGTGCAGATGAGGCTGCCGTTGCGGTTCCAGCTGACGTTGTAGATCATGTCTTGGTGCATGTCGTCCAGGTTGATGAGGGGCTCCCCAGTGCCCACGTTCCAGATGAGGATGGCGTTGTCACAGCCTGGGGGTGGGGGGGGGAGGAAGAGGAGGAGGAGGAGGAGGAAGAGGCTGAGGCAGCAGCACCAGTTAACTGCCTGCTGAGGTCAGATCCAGCAATTCCCCTGAAGGCCCAAGCCTGGCCCATCGCACCCTGTTCCTCGGCCTACCTGCGCTGAGCAGCACGTTGCGGGCGGTGGGGTGCCAGGCCACGATGCCCACTCGCTTGGAGTGGCCCTCCAGGATGACCACAGGCTCCGTCAGGGACAGCGTGAGGCCGTTTTCTGGGATCTGCCAGACCTGCCGAGAGAAGGAAGGAGGCCAAGGGGGCGAGTGGGCCTCCGGAAGGCGGCTGAGGAGGAAGGGGGGGTGGGTGTTGCCAGGCCAATCACAGTTTGTCCAGAAGGAGCTTTTTTAGGCTGGGCTTTCTTCCCCTTCCTGGGCTGCTGCCTCTGACGGCTCTCTTCCCTCTCCTACGTTGGCTTCTTAGCGGTCTTGGTGGGGAGCAGCTCTCCTCCAGCACAGCCCCTCCTCCCTCAAACAGGGCCTGGAAGGGCCTTGGAAGCCCTACCCCCAGGCCTTGAATCTGCTGCTGCCAGAGGCCAGGCTCTTCGGGCGGCCTGGAAGGGTCCCTGGCCTCTGAGGGCTCCTTCCCTGCTAAGAAAGGAGGCCAGTTCAGGAGCGGGTCAGGCCAAAGGCCCCCCTGGCTGTCAGCCCCTGGAGCGAAAGCAGAGCCCTGGGGGGCTCTCGTGGCCTTGCAAAGCGTCCAGGGGAACCTTCAGCATCGAGGCCGGATGGGCCTCCCGTACCAGCCCTCAAGGCATCTAGGAGGGACCTTCTGGCCCTTTTCCCTCTTCCCACCAGAACGGGGGAGGGTCAGAGTTCACCTCGAGGATGACAAGGCCCGGGTGACTCGGGGGCCCATCGATGGCCATTCAGCCCAGGACTGGGCTCAGGGTCCTGCTGGGGCCAGCCTGACTCTGCCGGGTGAATCATCCTTGGCAGCCGTTTTCTTGGCAATCCACCCTAGGTGACCTTCGGCCGAGACAGGTTGCCTAACTCCCTGGATGGGTGTCTAAGGGCCTGGGAGAAGCCAACACACCTCCCTTTCCTTGGCTCTTCCTTGCTTCCCAGCACATTTGCTTGTACAGCCTGTGCTAAACACCCTTCCGAGTTTCCCACGTCCTGCCTTCCTCTGGTGGGAGGGGGCTTCCGTTTTCCGTTCCACGCACTGCTTAGCCCCCATTCACACACCAACCGTGAGCCAGGGAGGATTTATTCACCTTTCTGGCACCCCGTTTCTCCCTGCATGCTCAGCAGCCAATGACCAACAGCCTCAATGACACATTTGGACATTAAACCCCGCCCCCCCCTTTTTTTTAAAGTACTCATCGCTGTCTGGGGGATGCTGGGAGTTGAAGTCCCTGCGCCTTAAAAGTTGCCAAGATTGGAGAGTCCCGGCTTAAGCTCCGGCCAAACACCTCCGTGCGGGAGGGCCAGAGGGAGGCAGTGACGAGCTGCCCATCATGCTTGCTTCCCCCGGGAGGAGCGGAGGCTCCGTTGAGCGTGACGCGAGGATCTCTGTCACCAGGCACTGAGCACGGTTTCTGCCGGCGTCCCCCCCAGACAGCCCAGATTAGGAGCAGCTGCCCCCCTCCCGCTCTGAGGCTCGACTCCGGCCACGTCCAGGCGGCCCTGAATGAACCACCTGCTGAGTGGGGCCAGGCAATTGCCTGCGAAGCGCCACCCGAGTGAGCAAGGCGCAGCCGCAGAGACCCAAAGCGAGGCCCCCACACTCACCATCACCGTGCAGTCCTCCGAGCCGCTGGCGATCACCTGGTCGTTGTGAGGACACCAGTCAATGTCCAGCACTGGCCCGGTGTGGCCACAGACGGTGGGGTAGGACTTGTCGATCCTGCCTGTCTGGAGAGGGGGAGGAAAGGAGGCCGTCAGCCAGAGGCTGAGTCGCAGGCGTGCCAAGGGGGGGTTAGCAAAAACGGCTCCTTGGCAGCTCCCTCCTTGATCTGCGGCGTTGGGGACCCCTGAGAGCTCAATCGGGGGATTCTGGCAAGGGAAGAGCGGGCTCCATCATGAAACCAGGGTCTCCCTGCAAAAGTTCCCACCCCCCCCCTGTCCGAACGCATCAGCTCTCTGGAAAAGCATCGCGAGCTTCATTTCACAACGCTTGTTTGCGAGGAGCTCAGGCGGCTGCATCCCGTCCACAGAAGGACCGGCACACCCTTCGGGCTCATGTTTACGGCTGGGTTTCCCAAGAAAAGTTCTCCCTGCTCCCTGTGCGGAATGACCCTTGGAAGCCGGCCTGGGCGACTGCGCAGCCAACGCTGGGAAGGTTAGCCTTGGAAACCCCAAGTTCACCGTACAAAAGGCTTTGGAGGCCGTGCTAAAACCGTGTCTGGCCCTGGCCCTGCTGGTCAAAATCGGAAGCCAGGCAGCTGCCCAGCTGGGGGGGGTGGAGGGGTGGGAGAACCAGAAGCCCCTCCTGCACTCAGGAGCCCCCACTGCTTTCCTCCTGATTAGGGCAGGGCGAGGGGGGGGGGATGCGTGGCCGGGAAGGGGGCACAGCTGCAAGGCAGCACTCAAGGGCCCTGGTGGGGCAGCCCTTCGCCCACAGAGGGACAACAGCAGAAGCGCAAGAGGCTGTGGGCGGGTGGATGGATGCAGGGTCAGCGAGCTGCAAAAGAGGAAGGCGGCTCACTCCTTCTATCCGGGGCTTCCCATCTGCCCCCAAAGCAGCTCAACCGAGGCCTGCAGAGTGGCTCCCAAGGCCTGTCCGGGGAAATCTGTCCTGAGTCCATTTCTGGATCCAGGTTCAGAGAAAGGGAAGCCGAAGCTCCGAGAAGGTATGATGGCGGCTCACATATCCCACCCTGTGTGTTTTATTTTACAAGACGGAGCGGAGGATGCCGGACCCCAGAGGAATGGCCTTGAAAGGCAAAGTGGGACCTCTCCCTGGTGTCTCTTCTTCGGAGGCCGCCCACCCCCCGCCCCCGAGGCCAGACCCCCCCGCCCCCCTCTTCTCTTCGAAACCCCCCCCCCCCCCCCCCGCCCACCCCCGTCTACCAAGAGGGCCCAGATGGTTCCTGCCCAGGCACCAGGCTTCAATGGAGAGGCCCTGCCGCCAATTCAGCCCATGACAAATGGCCATTAATCATCCCGGAGACGGGATCGCCATGACTAAGCCCAGCCCCCCCCCCCTTTGAGATAAGG